CTAAGCCAAGTAATAGACTCGGGATCGAATACTTGGTTCACTAGCGCTGTCAACTCTGAAGGTAAAAGAGGCTGTACATAGTCTGGCGACATAAGCAGCGATGCATCCATATTATCATGGTCCAGGCCAAGAGTAGAGGATACTGCATATGGATAGGTGGGTGTCGTAAAGGGATACTGGTTTCCTTCGCTTGAAGCACCAGATACTGGAGGCTTTGGTAGAGAGAGGCCCTGCACATTGAGTAACGCATCGTCGATGGTTTCTCCAAAGAAAAAGGGTCTAAAGGCGGTCGTTTGTAACTGGGCGAGGATGGAGGTCTTCAATGCTACAACCTCGTGCGCAGAAAGGGTATCCGATTTCGCTATAACGGGAATGACGTTGGTGAGGTACGACAAACGCTGCATATACTCAATGTCCTTGCTGATGTCTTTGCCTGTCAAATGTCAGAATAAATTATAGATGAAGCAACCACTTAGCTTACCGGGCGATAGTAGGTAAATTACGATGTCCACAAGGACGCCACCATTGCCACTGACAAGTCCGAGCGCATCGCTGTCTTCCAGTGATACGACAGAAGAAGTCTGGTAAAAGAGAGATTCCACGTAGTTGACGACGGTACCTATATCGTCTGCTTCTGTTGGTCCTGGTAAGTATCCGGGGGTATCAACAAAACAAATGTTCCTCTCCAAAACATTATCGCTACTACCCTTTCTCTTCTTCGGTGCACGAGAGTCGTCCAAATCAGTCCACCAATGCGGGTAGGGCTTTGTGCTTGCATGAATCTCTGTCACTCGTGTAGTACCCGCATATGCTGATTTCCTTGCACGGGATTTGGACCTGGATGCACGTGGCTGCGAGGTTGATTGGGGGGTTGGTAAAGGATCTACGTGTACAATGTCTTCGCATGCCTGCACGATGGATCGAACGAGAGACGACTTGCCGACTCCTGTGTCATACCGTCAGTATCCGATGCGCTGCACAACAACGCGTACTGTAGATGCCGAGTATTACGCACCTGTTTCACCAGCAACCATCACCTTTAGCTTACTCATAGCCTTGCCTTTTGTCGTAAAAGGTCGTCTCGTTGGCATTTGCATTACGGGCATGACAAGCTGTGGAAAAGATAGGCCATCCTGCTGTATCTCGACATGGTCCTCCTCGCCTGCGCTGGACATGGCAGGTTGACTAACAGCTTCATCCATGGTGGAATCCTCGTCGGACAGTTTGAGCGATGTTATCGAAGCAGATGTCGGTGTGCTAGGCATGGCAGAAGTAGGGTATGGGGAGGACACGTCTGCGCCAGGCAGCTTCAAGGGTGTATAGGAACCGTGGTTGGAATGATTCCTCTTCAATTTCCAAGTCTTGTTTGCCCTGGCGTCGTCGGGCAACGTTGCTGAATCAATCGACGAGCCGTGCGACACTGGCCTTGAGCTCTTTGCGCCATGGCCCTTTGTTCTCTCTGTCTTGAGCGAGTCGGTGCGCTTTGGCGCATCTTCGGGACCAAATGCAGCTTCGAGTGTATCTGCGAGACTTTGCACTCCGTACGTGCCGTGGTCCTCGTGTCTTCCCGAAGAGGTTGCAACATGAAGCGGAGCTGCGGTCTGCTCCAGGTCCTCGAATCGCTTGAAGACGAAGGAAGTGGGTACATGAGATACAGGGGCAACCGGGTCGATGCTCGACTTGCGAGAGCGCGGCTTAACAGCAGGAGTGAGGGCGTCGCCGCCCGGTATCGGTCGCATATCGGCAAGATGTTTGGGGCATATGGCACCAAATGCAGCTGTCGAGGTGTTTGGCCGCGGGAGGTTTGGTACTAAGCCTCGTTCAAGTACCGAAGTGGTGATGGCAATGGGATGGATGCACGCGACGGCCCCCGCCTTCGCCCCGCGGCGAGCTACTGCACTGCTAGTCTCGCGTGGAACGCGTCAATGCGCCTTAGCAGTCGTGCAGACGGCAGACGGCAGACAGCAAAGGGGGCGAGTTAATGTTTGACAAGTCCAGGGAAGAGGACAGAAGGTTGGAGGTACAATCAATGCTACCCCCATAGTCGTGGAGCTATTGGGCTGCTGCCGATCCAAAGTAGCCTGTCTCATCCTCGAATCAGCGATCAGCGCACCTACATGAGGGCTGCATGATACATTATCAGCTGACGTTATCGCGACGCCGCCGAGATCCCATGATACCATTGTAGCTTCAAGAAGATGCCTTGATATACATGTAATATGGCACATGTTGTATTCGTACTAGAGCGTCTTTACGATTGCTTTTCCCATCCCCATCTCATCATGGCCCTGTACATGTCATGCTGTACACGCCTGTCTGATTTTGCACCCGAATCCATTACACCAGATGCCACGACAGTCCCTAGCCCGTACCTCTAACCGTCACGTCGCCCACCCTATACATTAGGCAACCAGAAATGCGCGCAAACAAGAAAAGGGAAATAAAGGGCGGGACGAACACTTATGAGTACACAAGGAAACCATGCTGAAATGAAACCGCTCGCTATGCAAGGGCTCAAACCCCCAAGGACGAACGCGTGCGCCCAGACTTTTCCTCGAAATGAAATGACTTTTATACAAAGCGCTGAAAAAAAGGGTCGAGTACAGTACATAGCTGAAGCCGTCAGTCGTTAGGCCATCGAGTCGAACGAGCTCAACAGGGAACGAACAAAGAATGTGGGAGATAGAGAGAGAGAGAGAGGGAAAGAGAGGGAAAGAGAGAATGAGCCGACCAGAGTCGATCTTTAGGACTCCTGAGCTGCACCGCCGCGACCGCGCATAGAACCACCTCGGCCACGAGGTTGGAAGTTTCCACGAGGCGCCTGGCCGCCCATACCGCCACGGCCACGAGAAGCACCACCACGAGCAAATCCCCCACGGTTGAATTGCCCAGGGTTCTGACGGCGTTCCTCGACCTTCATCTCGATGCCATTGACCGTGTGAGGGTTAGCAGCGACAGCGGCCTGGAACCCGGCGGGTGTCTTGAAGTCAACAAAGGCGCAGTTCTAAACCCATGTTAGTTCTGTAGCTTTTCCATATGCACATGCAGTTTCACTCACCTTGCCACGGCTGATGTCAAGATACTCAATCTCGCCAAATTTGGTGAGAGCGGCTCTCAGAGCACCCTCCTCGACTTGGCTGTAGACGTTCTTGATGTAAGCACGCTTCTGGTCGGGGTCAGCGGCAGGACCGGCGTTCTGTGCGCGAGACTGCTCCTTCTTGTGTCCAGTAGCTGTTTGCCAGCCGGCAGCCTCACCCTGGCTTGTGGCAGGGGATTGCTCACGAGCGGGTGCAGCAGGCTGGCTGGGCGTAGCGGCTGCAGATTGAGCAGGGGCAGGAGTGGCGGCGGCGGCAGCAGCAGCAGCAGCCTTGGGCTGCGAAGCGGCTTGCTGGGAGGCGGGGGCGTTCACAACAGGAGTAGCAACCTTGTGTGCAGAGGCGGCGAGGCTAGCCCAAGTGCGGGGGGCAGCAGGCTTTGGTGGACCAGAAGGCATCGCGACGGTACTGGCCTTCTGTGCGGGTTGGACTGGTGCGGCAGGCTTCTGGGGCTCAATGATCTCCTCGGCAGGGGCTTGTGGTGCCTCGGTAGCCTTCTCCTCAACAGCGGCGGGTGCCTCTTCCGCAGCGGGTTGTTCAACCTCCTCTGGTACTTGTTGGACCGGAGCTGCAGGTGCAACTTCCTCCACAGCAGGCTCCTCCTTTACAACCTCCTGTAGTTTGTCATCCACCTTGTTCAAGGCCTCCTCGCTGGTTGCAACCTCGTCGCTCTTGAGTTCAGCATTCTCGGGGACGGCGGCGGTAGGAGCTGGTTCGGTGACACCGTTAGCGGGTGCAGCTTGCTCTTGCTGCTCTTCCTCCTCTTCGGGATCCTCTGCGAGGTAACGGAAGATGTCGTTGAGAACAAAGTAACCATTGGTCTGCTCGGCAAGGACAAAGGTTTGGACAAAGCGCTTGTGAGGCTGGCCCTGGTTGGAGATTTCACCAATTACTTGGATCACGATGTTGGCATCAGAGCCCTGTGAGTCGACATTGGTAACGCGGACCTTCGTGTCCTTGAAGTCTAGCTCCTTGATGCGCTCGTTGATCGCCTGTGCTCACGTTAGTTTGATATGAATACTGGACGAGTGTTTACATACCTTCTGGCCCAAGCAAACATTGACCTTCTCTTCCTCAATGCCCGAAACGTACTGCGAGCGCTTGTTGTAGAAAAGCTAGAGTTTGGGTCAGCGACATGTCTTGATGAGGGGTTGATTGGCATGTGCGACTTACGTAAAGTCGGTCGGGGCTCTTGCTCAAGGTGGTGTAGTACTGCTCGACAAAGTACCACCCAACCTCGTCCTTTGGGATCTCAGAGGCGGTTGCTTGTTGTGCGGGCTGGCTGGCGGTTGGTTGCTGCGAGGGTGTGAAGTTGGAGGCGCCAGTGGAGTAGCTGTTCTCGTATCCCTGTGGCGCATAGTTGCCATTGACAGGGCCAGATGATTCGGTGGATGCCATTTTTGGGTATGGAGGGGGAGGAGTAGAGGGCGTGTGGACCGAGGGCTACGACGGCTTGTTAAATGGTTTGCGCGAAGAGGAGCGGGGATTCGGAAGGCAAAATGGAAAGCTCGCGAACGTTGTCTGTGCGTCCGCCGCCCAATCAAGCGAACCCGTCCAACACGTCGTCTACACTACCCACACACATCACCGCTACGTCTCTACCCTCGATATGGAACAAGGTCAAGGATTAAGTGGGGAAAGAAGATGTTGGGACTGGAATCAGGGGCCTCTTGAAGAGGCTTGTAAAGAGCAATGCTTTCCTGTCTGATCTGTCTGGTATACATACAAAGTAGTCCAGGGCGATGACTACGTGTTGAAGAAGGAGAAAACAAGATAAGAGATGCATGGTAAAACGAGACCCTCGTATGCATGCCCGCTCTGATGCCCGATGGCAACCTACTCACTCTCACCCCCCCCCCCCCCCCATCTCGGTTCTTGTGTTGTTGTCAGTCTACAACTCAAGCATCATCTTCTTCCTTGACGTCCAGACTCTCCCTTGTACTCTTCAGCCTCTTCCTGGGCCTTCTGAGCCCTCTCAGCGTCGCGTGCCTCGGACTCCGCGATCTGCACTTCGAGTTCGGCGGCACGCTGGTCCAAATGCACCCTGAGAGCATTGTCCAGCTTGGCCTTCTGCTCCTCTCGCTCTCGCTTCTCTGCTGCTAGAATTCCCGCATACTTCTCTTCCAACCGCTGACGCTCTTCTACCAACTTCTGCTTCATAACGGCAACCTCTGCGTCAGCCCGCTCAGCCAATATCTGATTCCAGCCCTCCTCGGATTTCTCCCAGGCATCGCGCAACGCGGGAATTGCCTTTGACAAAAGTATAGTAACAACGACCACCGCAAGGAATGTAAACCAAACGATGACGACGCAGTGGAAGGTGAACAGCCCGTCGTCATCTACCTGCCCGTATTGATTCAACTTCACGATTTTGAATCCGAGGGGTTTCAGAAGTTCGTTCAACCTCTTGATATCGTTCAACCCCTTGATATCGGTCAAGTGGGGTATAAGGGCGCTGACATCTCCTCCTTTAATATCGATGCAGGTCAAGTGTTCCTTCATGCTGTATGCGTGTGAAAGAACGGGATTGACCACGCGGCTGAGAAGGGTATTGGTAGGGTCGGTTTGGTTCGAGGACTCGTGCCTGTTTAAACGGCGGGCCCCTTCGGTCAGGGTGGTGTTGATGCTGCGAAGCACGTCGGTCATGGCGGTCATGGCCTGAGCCATGTCTGAATCATAGGCCATGACGGAGTGATAGGCACCCATGGTGGTGAATGTCTGGGTTACGGAGTACATTAGTGAGGGCAGTACTTGAAGGAGAAGCGCTGGGATTATGGTACCTTGATGAACTTTAGCAGGATCTTGTTGGGTGAGTGGTGTTTGTTGGTAGAGTTGAGTTGTGGTGGGATGGAGGAGGATGGGCTGTAACAGGTTGAGGGGGTTGTTTGTATAGCCGTGTATGGAAGGGAAGCTTGTGCGCCTGGACGTAGGCAAAAGCGGTAGGTTCGTCTCAAATGGCAGTAACAGTGGGGGTGATTGCAGAAAGAGCTGTTGAACAGGCCATGTCATGGGTGCCAGCATCACATCATTGAGAATATCCATATTGTTCTGGTCATTACAAAGAATCGGACTTTGAGACACAGAGTTGCATCGTTGTCAGCGTTGAACATACTCGGGTTAGGTGATAACATGGACATGGGTTGGGCTGACGACGTGGAGCAACTGGCTATGATGATGGCTCCGTATCAATACCTAATGCCAACCAAGTACTTTGGAATAGATATGTACATGCATTTCTCATTCATCCCAAATGTTTTATCCTCTTCGCTCCATGCACAGTAGTATATGCTGCAAACTCGTCCCATCTCCCTAACGACGGAGGGAAACACCATGCTGCGGGACAGCTTTGTCCAAAACTCTGTCCGTACATTGTGAAATCAACCCTGCACGCATAATACGATTTGTTTTGCGCCCCTCGTCTCCCGTAGTCTTACAAAAGGTAGGAGTAGGCTGACTGTCGGGTGAGGCTGAAGAAGTCGCACTAGTAGTGGGCCCCATCGTCTTTGGCTGGAATGTGGACTGCAGTGCTAGTGCTAGATCGGACAACAGATCATCCACCCTTGCTCTCTTTTGCTACCATTGCTGCATCTGGGAGTGCAACGTCGCCGGCTAATCAAATAACGTCTGTGCTGGTTACACGAGCCTAGATCAAGCAAAAGATGAGAAGGGATCCCGCTCGTCCTACATACGTCAGCTTTGGTAGCGAGTGGAGCCTGTTCCGCGCTTCCGCCCACCACATGGAAGCTACGTGCCGATCGCCCATGAGCCGAAAGCAAGACAGATGCATTCTCATGGTACACATGGCATGTGTGCCATCCTTTTGTGAGAAAACAAGCCACCATGCCCTTATCTGAAGGTGGGCTCTCCGAGGCAATCAAACAAGCAATTCTGTCTGCCCCGCACAAAAGCGACTCTTGGTCCGGAGCGATTGGTCGACTCTTGAATTTGGCAGGATCGGACGGATGGTGGAGAAAGGCGCAGCCCAGCTTACATATACTATACGTATATATGCAAAAGCATCACGCCTCCATCTTTCACCTTCTTTCCATTCAACCACTGCCTTGCCCTCTTCTCATATCACTAAATATTCATCATGGAAACACATAAGGCGACAGTAGCGTCTCTTGCGGCGCAGGTTGCCAAGTTCAGCGCATCCAAGACACCCTTTCGCATATATCATGGTTCCACACTGTCAACACGAACATCGTCTCGTGCACGCAATCAAATCATCGACGTCAGCTCGCTGGACCATGTGCTGCAATTCGACGAGCTGGAGAAGACGGTACTCGTAGAGCCGAATGTTCCGATGGATAAGCTGGTGGAAGCTACCATGGCAAAGGGATTCCTACCAAAGGTTGTCATGGAGCTGCCGAACATTACTGTTGGTGGTGGGTAAGTGGAACGTTTGTTTTTGCACTCGAGCGGTCAGGTCCAAGTTGCTCAAGATCCTTGCCCATGACACCCTTCTTATATGCAACATGATATATCTTCGAGCCACGAACACTGATGGACGTGACTAGGTTTGCTGGCACCAGTGGGGAAAGCAGTTCCTACAAATATGGGCTCTTTGACCGCACCATCTCGGGAATAGAGATTATCCTCGGCAACGGTGAGGTTGTGTGGGCATCCACGGAGGACCACCGGGATCTGTTCTTCACAGCCGCCGGGAGCTGTGGAAGCCTGGGCGTCATCACACTACTCAAAATGGAGCTCATTCAGGCCAGTAACTACGTAGAGCTGGAGTACATACCCGTCAGCAGTACAGAAGAAGCGGTGAAGCAACTTCGACTTCATCAGGATGATTATACCGTCGATTACATGGATGGTATCATGTACTCTTTGAAGAGCGGGGTGATTATGATTGGGCGCTTGACGGATGCGCCAATGGATAGGAAGATCCAGAGCTTCGACCAACCAGCAGACCCTTGGCTCTACATGCACGCCGAAGATATTGTAAAGCGGACCCAGGGAAATAAGACGACGTACCGGGAGCTCATACCTACACAGTCGTACTTGTTCAGATACGACCGAGGCGTCTTCTGGTCTGGACTACGAGCATTCAAGTACTTTGTCACACCGTTCAACCGTGTTACTCGCTATCTGTTGGATCCTTTTATGTACTCGCGAACAATGGTACATGCGCTGCACCGGTCAGGTCTTGCATCTCGGACAATCATCCAAGACTACGGGGTGCCGTATGATACAGCAGATGAGTTCATTCGATGGATTGATGAGAAGACTGGCATCTGGCCCCTTTGGCTGTGTCCTGTCAAATCGGCGCCGCTGGGCGAACGTAGCTTCTCGCAGGGCAACAACGTCAAGGACGACATTCTGCTGGACGTGGGCATCTGGGACATGGGGCCGAATGACGCCCAGGCCTTCATCAAGCTGAACCGCGACTTTGAAGCCAAGGTGACGGCGCTTGGGGGCATGAAGTGTCTGTACGCACATGCATACTATACCGAGCAAGAGTTTTGGGGGATTTACGACGAGAAGAAGTACATGGAGCTGCGCAGGAAGTACCACGCTGAGAGTCTGCCGAGCGTGTACGAGAAGGTGCGTGTCGATCTGCAAGGCGTTGCTGGAGACAAGAGTGGGCGCAAGAGACAGTCGTGGAGCGAATGGGCATACTGGCAATTCTGGAGCACGTGGCCGATGGGGGGACTGTACGGAATCGCCAGCGCGACAAAGGGGTTGTTTTTCAAAAGCGATTTTTTGCTGAAAAAGTAACAAGGGGTACATGTATGTACGCACATAGGTATCAGTATGTAGAGTATGGAACCTTGGAACGGATGCATGGCCAGGCCACGTGCGGGAGGGGATGATGGAGGGGATCCGGCGTCGTCATGCATCTCGCGAGCAAATCCCCCTGACAGGGCTGGCTGTATTGAACCCTTTGATTCCAGGCCGTGGGAAGATCAGCCGCTGATGCTTGTGCGGGCGCCGTTCACGTGGTGACGTCGAGTGAGGCGGGGGGTGACTGCAAGCGCCAGCCGTTCACTCGCCAAAAACCTGTATGGGGGCGGGTTTCAAGGTTCAAGTGGTACCTAGAGGGCCCAAGGCAGCGAGTGCGTAAGCATGAGTTAGTGAAGACGCGCCCAAGAGGCCGTCGCGTCGACGTCACCCGCGAAGGGCTAGCGTAGGCGTAGACATGCATGGGCCGCATTGACGTAGCAAAAAGCCTCCACTTGCCCAACCACCCCATTTCACGCACAGTCGCACAATCCCAGGCGCCCGTTCAACCTCCTCTTACCCACACTAGATCAAAGCTGGCCCTGCCCTGCCTTTCTTGTGCCCCGCTGCTGTCCATTCCACCGCGCTCTCTCCGCCTGGGCACCCCATTTTTCATTCTATCCAGACCTTTCTTGGCCTTGCACCCGCTCACCGGTTGGACCACGTTTTTCTGGCTGGCCCTTTTTTTTGTTCGCTTTCTTTCTTGATAGATAGGTACGGAGCTCCAACACGCGCAAAATCACGCGTGATTGACTCTCCCAGCACCGTGGGAGCTAACAGCAGCTGTAGAATATAGCAATTGACCCCTAGACGTACCACCATGGCGCGTCTTAGCGGTCTACCATCTGAGCACCACCACGAGGGCCCTGGCGACGCTCCACGACGAAAGCGCGGCCGCCCATCCACCAAGTTCCAGACGCCCTCGGAAGACATGAGCTCCAGCGGCAAGCGGACTGCTTCGCCTTCTGCTGAGCTCTCGCAGACGAAGCGCACAAAGCGAATTGCGGTTGAAGATGACGAAGACCAGATTGCCCACGAAATTCAGCAATCGTTTTCGCGGTCGCAACAGGGCGACAATATCAACGTCGAGACGCAGAGCAGCCACACCACCCGCCGCCACGCACGACGACACTCTGAGCCTCCCGTCGCCGTCGACGATGATGATGACGACGAGGACGAGCTCATGGCCCCGCAAGCTTCCACGCAACCACTTCCAGGCCTGACCCCCCACCTTGATCGTGTTGGTGCTGCCCGCAAGCGCTTCGTTAACATCCGCCGGTCCCGCATGTCCATGCCTGCCCAGTTGCACATTGAGCGTGTAGATGAGGTCGACGAAAACAACTCCAACCGCGTTCAATTTGCACCCCTCACACAAGTACTTGACAGCCGTGCTAGGCGCCGGCTTCGCCGCAGCCACCTGAGTCAAGAGGTAAACAGCTTCGAAGACCACCAGAAGAAAGACAAGAAGCTCTTCCTCGAGCTCCGCCGCCAGCTGCGCGAACAAGATGAAAAAATCAAGGATCTCGAGTACCAGCTCGAAGCCCGCCGCCTCGGAGAGATTGATATTACCGATGCACACGCCGACGAGCTGCAAGTGCAGCTAGATGAGGCTCGCCAACAAATCGACGAGCTTCGAGCATCCTCGTTGTACAACGGTGACGACAATGAGGAGCCTGTCAATCTTTCCGACGATGAAGAAGCACTCGTCATGGTTGATCCCGAAGACCTTCACATGTCGCAAGACCTCGACATGGAGCCTATCCCCACTGGCAAATACGCCTCTCGTGCGCTCGAAATCTCCAGCCAGATGACCCTCGAGTCTCTGCCGACCCTTTCGCATCTCCACCGCGACAGCTTGACCGAAGGCGAGGAAGTAATGATGGACAAGATCGAAGATGAAGCCATTGAGCGCTACGAACGGGAACTGCAACAGCTCAGCAAAGCCTTGGGCGAGTCTCAGGGCGCATTGCGCTTGATCACGATTGAGCTGCAGAATTTGCGGTTCGTCGAAGCCGGTGCCTCCTCGAGCGACATCTTGGCTGAATTGCGACACGGATTCGAAGACATCCGCGCTGAGATTGAGAAGTTCTTCCCTGGTACCACATCTGGTGTCACTAACCAACAACTTCTGCAAAAGGTTCCCCAGCTCTTTGGTGGCATCTTCTACGAGCTGAAAGAAAAAATCACGCTGCTCAAGGACTCTCAAAAGACTGAGGTTCTTCTTCGACGACAGTACGAAGGTGTGCTAGACCTGCTCGGCGACTCCGAGGAGCGAGTGAAGCAGCTAGAGTCGGATGTGTTCACGCTTGACAAAGCAAACGAAGACAAGCAGCGTACCATTCTCGAACTTGAGGAGCGCAATGCTACCTTGACCAACCTGAATGACGAACAAGAGGCCCAGCTAACCAAACAAGATTCTGATATCGCTGATCTTGAGGACGAAAATGCAACCTACAAGCAGAATGTGGCAGAGCTTGAAGAAGCTCTTGAAAAGTACCGCCAGGACCTTGACGATGTCACTACCGCAGCCACTGAATTCGAAAATAACCACCACGACACCATCGCCCGCATGGAGAAGGAACATGAGGAGGCCATAGCCGCCCTAGATGATTTGCGTGCGGCAGAACAGGAGGGTCGTGAAATGGCAGAAGCCGAAGTTGAGCAAAAGAACGACTACATTCAGCAACTAGAGGAAAGCATCGAGCGTATGGAAACCGATGTCGACAATATCACCGCAGATATGAGCACGCTCAGAGAACGTCTGGCTACTCAGACTGCGGCCCGCGAAGCTGCCGAAACCGAGCGGGATGAGCAGATTGAGCAAGTCTACAAGCACGCCAACACCATCGAGAATCTCACAGACACCGTCACTGAGCTCAAGGAGCAGCTCAATGAATACCGGGATAATCTGGCCGCCGAGCGTGCTCAACGCGAGAAGACCGAAGCTGATTTGGATGAAGCCAACGAGAAGATTGAAGATCTCAACATTCGTCTTCATGACACTGGTATTCAGGCTAATGAACTTCGTTCGAAGCTGTTCCAGCTCCAACAAGAAAAGGAGGCCGCGATCAGTGAGCTTGAGGAGGATGCAGAGGAGCGCGAAAATGAGCTCAACAACCAGCTGGAGTCTGAGTCTCAGCTTCGTGAGAACGCTGAGAAGACAATTGGCCGACTGGAGCAGCAGATTCTGCAGCTTGAAGGAGACATCGCGACGCTTGAGAACAACCTTGCCGATATGACCGAATCACGTAATCAGCTCGAGCAAGACCGCGATGTCCAGGTTGCCAACCTCGCCGCTCAGCTCGCAGACCTTACTAACAAATATGCCGCATTGGAGAACTCAACCAGCTCTACGATTGCGTCTCTTCAAGCCAACATCATCGACCTCAACAACCAGGTGCAACGTCAACAAAGCGAAATTGAGGACCTTATTGAGCAAGTCGCTGAGAAGGAGCGCATGTATCTCGAAGATACTACCGCTCTCAAGGAGAAGATTGAGAATCTCGAGGAGGATCTTAGCAACCAGAAGGCTGAGAATGAGAGCTACCGAAGAGAGAACGACTCGTTGTCCAGACGTGTCGAGGCGGAGGCTAATGAGCTACTGAACATTGTCGGTGCGCACAACGACCAGATTAACTCTCTCAACGCCGTCATCAGGTCACATGAAGCGACGATCAAGAACCTTCAAGACTCGTCTGAGAAGCGCACGGCCGAGTACGAAGAGTTGCTCGAGGACCGCAACAACGAAATCACGGAGATGCGTCTCTTGGGCGATGCTCGTGTCGAGACGATTGTCCTTCTTGAAGCTCAAATCGAAGAGATGAAGGAGCGCTTCCGCCTTGCTGAAGAAGATACGCGCGCGACCATCGACGCCCTGACTGCTTCGCAGCGCCAACTCCAAGAACAAAATGAACGTCTTGCCGACGATCTCAAGCGCCGCAACCAGGAAGCTCTTCAAGCTGTACAAGAAATGAAGCTCAAGCGTGTCGAAGTCAAGACGCAGGGCGTTGACCTGCACCGCGTTGTCACGGGCAAGATTGCCAAGACAAGCGAGAAGGTCAAGATTGGCAAGAAGGGCAAGAAGAAGAGCTCTAGGCGCCAATGGGATTCAGGATTTGGCGTTGATGAAAATGTAGAAGATGACGAGCTCAATGGCGAAGAGCAACCGATTGCCGCGTAGAGTGCGCTTGGGTGCGGTCTCGATAAGGTTTCCTGAGGCCCACTTTTCTTGGGCTCCACAAGGGATGATGTCTATGTTCTTGGCCTTTGGCTCTTCGTCTTCTTCTTTACTCCAAACCTACTTGGACGTTGTCGTTGTACGTCCTTTCTCCATCTGTCTCTTTTACACCTTTCTGGGTATTTTTCTCTATCGGAACTGGGACAAGTTGTTTGTCTTGCTTTTTTTGCAGAAAATTGTATGCCTCTCTTCTTCTTGTTTTCTTACTCTTTGGAGGGAGGGGAGGCAGGAGTGTGCATTGTCTTCTTGTGTTTTATCCTTTTCGATATGAAGGGATAGATCGTACTGGGGACAAAATCCATTGCTAAATTAACGACTTTTGATGACTTGGCTTCTACTGGCTTCGTTTCTTAGGCCTGTTTCTTTTTTGACTCGGTTTAGTTTGGAGGTAATTACACAGCAAGGCAGCAACAGTGTGTATGTATGCATGTATGTACGTATGTATGTTATTTTCCTTTGTGGCATATTAGCGAGGTGGAGTTTCCTTTATGGTATTGTATGCCCGACGGGTTTCATGGCAACGATGGAAAGAGGAGGATTACAACAAGCAAGTGGTACATTGTGTTAGGTAGTTGGTTCTGTAGCTGCAATTCTCGTTGGTCTTATCAAACACAATGGCTCTAGTGTGCTTCATGTATACTCACCTCCCTTCGTAATTCGTATCTCATACCGTATGGGTCTCTGATGCACTCTATGAGAGAATCAAAGGCGCGTGCGCATCCTCAATCTACGACACAACATCGTCACGCATATATCTCGTGCGATGTCGTGCATATACACTGCTGAAGGCCATTGAAACCAACAACCCGCGCTTGGATACTTACTACCTTGCAATCGAAACCCCCCCCCCCCCCCCAGATTTTCCCTCCCAGTATCACCACCACAACTACCATACTCCTACCTTTTTTTTCGCCCTATCCCATAAGACTTCTCTCTCTCTCCAACACAAACCACACCCAACCATCTAATCATCCCTCCTTCACAACCTCGAGATATTCTTCATCCTAGTCACATCTTCCCTTCCCTTTCGCAACCCTCCTTCCCAGACAAACACCGATTATCAGGGCATCAACCCCATTAACCTACTCCTTACCATCCCTGCTTAAAACAAAGCGGCTGGGGGCGCATTGACGCTTGGCACTTGCCGAAGCGCTGGGTGTCGGAACCCACGTACCCCGTCTACCTCCCCCCTCCCCCCCCCCAAAAAAAAACAAGATAGGGGGTGGTAGGGGTGTGTAGTGGGAATAAGGACATGGATGGGGTGTATTATACGATGGGTTTATTTTTGAAGATTTGCTTTATCCGAAGCGCTGGGTGTCTGTGTGTAGGGATTGTGGATGTTTTTTTGGAATCTATAGATGGGGGGGGGAGGAAAGGTAGATGATGTGTGGAGAGAGAGGGAGAGAGGGGAAAGTCCTAGATTTTTGATTTGGTTTGATTGATTGTCTATGTACACGAGGCTTGACATGTGTTTCGTTAAAAAAAAAAAGTGAAGATAAGGTATGTACAAAAATTGCGGGAGTTTTGGGGTTTATTTTTGGTTCCCGCAACCCCAACCCGTCCCCTTCCCAGGTTTCGCTGGTGCGGTTGCGCAGTGGTCTAGGCCGTGAACACATATAGTGTGCATTGGCAGTGTGTTTCTTCCATTGTAAGGGAAAACCGTGGTTGCCACAGGGAGTATGCTTGTTTTCCCCCCACTGGGTTATGCCGTATGGTCGGCTCGGGCAGTGCTCGTTTTCCCGTGTGGTTGCGGGGGAGAGGGATAATGGGTTGTAAGTATGAGTCTTGGGCGAAAAGAAAAGAAACTTTCATTATGGGATGTGCGGTAAAGACAAGTCCTTGAGACTCATGTTGCGGCTGTCACTCGATTCGGTGCTCCATCTTGAGTTTGGTGTTCGAGGTCGTGCTTTTCGCGCTCCGGCTTCCATTTCTTCGACATCCTCGGGTTGCGCTAGTTCGCTGGTGACTTGGGTGGTTGTGATAAGCTTGATGTCTGTGGCGCCTGCGCTGACGAGGTCATCTGAGCTATCGTTGCTTGAGGAGAGTGTAATTCTGCTCTTGTTCCTGCCCCTTCGGGTCTTTCCATGCGAGTTTGTGGCTTCGACTGTACATTCGCCACCGAAGCGCGTTGGCTTTTCTACCCAGAACACTGCGAATGTGTCTATGCCGTTATCTTCAGAAGGCGGCTCATCGCTGAATATCAGGATACGTCGAGTAATTGTGTAGAGGAGGACATCGAGCCAGCCGTTGGAAGTGATGATTGCACCACAGAGACAGAGGCGTGCTAGTGATGGTGGGCTGCCTGACATGGCCGCCATACGCGCGCTGGCGAGAGGAAGAGTGCAGATGATATATACAAGAGGGTATGCGACCATGAGGTTGGCGATGGACCGTACTCGTTCGGACTCTTCGGGCTTGTAGTGGCCTGAGCGAATGCGGACGATCAATATAGCATAGATAAGGGCGTATATGATGACGTTGCCGAATTCACTTGGTAGAAGAGTTAGCATGAACCATTGGACTGACAGCGTGGTGCTTACGCGATGAAGATCCAGAAGTAGTGGGTCCATAGTCGAAGGTCTTCATGGTTATGACTGATCCAACACCATACACCGGATCGAACGTAGATGCCCTTGCCATGCACGAAGATGGGAACGGTAGAAATCCCAAGGATGAATAACCATAGCAAGAATATAGTCAGGTAAAAGGCCCGGGGTTTTAGTCGATAGTTTAGGATGACGGACGCAAAGGTATGTAGACCGATGGCGAGACACCAGATGCCGCTTCCCAAGTCACCCGTCGAGACTAGCCAACTCTGCGCAAAGCAAACCGGATTTTTTACTTCCAAGGATCCCAGTCTCAGCCATTCGACGTTTAGTAGGAAAGCAAGGGATTGTTGTATGTCTGCCCAGAGTAGGTTGAAGATTAGGATGACGAATTGGTTACTCCGTTTGGAGCGGAGTTGCCAGGACACAAGCTTGTATGTGAGTACCAGTAGAAGGGATACTGAGGCGAAGAAGCTGACAAAGCCCAAAACGACGACTGCGCGTAACCATGGGTGGATGTGGTCTGGTAGGACAAACGACGCAGAATCGGAGTCGTGGTGCTGAGGGGTCATTGCAGCAGGTTAGGCGGGTTGACGCTCGTCTCGTCTCGTCTGATGGAGGGCAAAGATGTTACATGCCAAAAACAAGACCAGTCTTGCTGTTCGAAAATATCATACCGAGTGGGCCAGGCATGGAGCAGGTATGGAAGGGAAAAGGAAATGGGTGGCGCAGGGAAAAAAAAGGTTGTAGGACCGGCGCCGGGAACAGGCAGATCAAGTAGGTGATGCACGGTTGGCAGATGGGTCAGGCATGCTGAGTGCCTCCTCCGCATGGCAGCGAAGAATTGTAATCTGGGGGCCCACTGTAAGCTGGAGGGTTGGATCCTCCCCCCAGTCCCCCACCGATAGTACGGGACGCGCTAGGATGGTAGCGCAGCTCGTGGCATCCATGCCGCAGACGCAACGGAGAAGGATGTTAGCCTATTACTCCTTTGACAGCCATGTCTATACAAAACGTACAATAGCCGGCGTGGGGAAGTCTTGTAGAGGCTACAGTAGAGTATGTAGACTAATCTAATAGTACGACTCCAGCTTGATGGTCAGCGTCTTTGGCGCACTGGTACTACTAGTAGCATGCGACATGGCCCCAGAAGCTCCTCGGAATCCTTTAGACTGCATGTCATCAACGTGCTTCCCGTCCCCCGCACACACATAGACACACAGTAAAGTGCTCGATTAGGGCAGAGGTGAACAATTGAGCGTCATCTGACCAGCATGAGATCAGGCATGCAGTCAACACAAGGACCACGCCCGGCAGGCCCGGGGTCCCACTCTATTGTCAACACTCCATGACTCTGGGCGCTGCACCAATGATTCGGTGGCGCCTGTCTAGGTCGTGTAGAGGCATGTGGCCGGTTCCTCTTCGGTTGATATGGAAGCGAGAGCCGACGGTTGGTTGGTAGAGTAGACTTGGAAGGTTGTGGCTAGAAGCCACATTCGCATCTTTACAAAATCCAAAAAAACGCCCCTCGTCAACGGTCGCGCGAGATGTGTCGATGTGCATGTTTTCTTTGCTCGTCATCATGTTTGGCCCATGCATGAAAGAGGGACGATCCGCATGGAAGTCGTGTGTATCACGCTACTATGGTGCCATTTGGAGCAAGGTTCCCCTATTCGCTGGGCCCTGAAGAAGAAACCAAGAAGTGGCCTTGGACTGGCAAAGCAGTCATGGTATCTGCTCGTCTTCGCACTGGCCTATCGGCGCATATCGATCTTGTTAAAGCTCCGACAAGCAGGCGGGTAATCTACCTGACCTTCCTGAAGCGTGTGGATAATGTGCGATACTACGTCTGGCGGGCGCTCAAACTTCAGGCCATCATGGCGCAACGACCACACAGCGGAGCATCCACGCCATCAACGATCTAGCGCGCCCTGCGTCACGGCATGGAACACATGCACATGGGCGGGCCAGCCAATCAGCAGGGCGTATGGTGATGGCCTGTGAGACTGACGACGCGGGAGATGCACCCAGGTCGTGTTTTCGGAGCAAAGGGTAGCAAGATAGGCCCTACTCTGTACAGTATTCTAGAATCCCGGATAAAAGGAGTCGGCGGCGGCACGTAGATTGTTTCTTTCGCCTAGTATGCTAGTGTAGCAGCACATCAATATAGCCCAGCCGTGCGTGAGACACATGCAAACAAACTCTACTTGGTGTCAGTACAAATCAGCAACGCATTACCCTCGATAATCCCTCGGAATAATTACTTTTGACCAGTGGCTGGCTATGCACGGGGGGGGGGGGGCGATTGATTGATCTTACCCCGGAAATAGCAGTGTTGGTCGCGTTGGCACAAGAGACGCTAGTCCCCTTCCGGCCAGCTAAGCTCTGCGCCCCAAACATGTGCAATATCGCTTCAACACGTCCTGTTCGTCCAGAGGTCCTGTCCAGCACGCTCGTCGCTCCGTTTCAGAGCACGCAACCGCCCAATCCAGCGCCTTGCCATGCACAGTAGCCTCGACGTTGCATTATGGCCCGCCTGCCATGACATTGGCCATGCTATAGCAATGGGTGGCGTTACGAACCGCTTGACCGGGAATGGGAACATGTTTGCGCGTGAGCACAACCAGACCCCAAGCCCTGCGTTGTTGACAAAGTTATATCATGCCAAGCCAGAGCACTGTCACGAGCGCGCTACCATATGCCATTGGTGCTGGCAGCAGGGCTGAAGCCCTTCCGAGACATCCGTAACCAGCTCCAGGGTCTGCAGATCATCTGGCCCATATCTTTGTTTCCAGAATCCAATGCCTAACTATACTCCTATGGGACCCGACCTTCGCTTCTTCCCGCAAACAATCGACTGGAGCGAAACGAATCCATTCCGAACGAACGTGCACCTCTGATCTTGCTGGCCCAAAAAAGGAACGCCACAAAAGCACCTGACATGGCGGAATTGCCTGCAAAAGAATAGCCTAGTTACACTTTTGTCTTTTTTAGCGCAATGTCCTGGCCCACGCCAATTGGAAGTGGTAACAACGCCAAGCACACTTAAGCCTCCATACAGAACAGGTATACCCATGCCCTGAAAAAAGGCCGTAACCATCTGATCTGCACTCCGTCGTGGGGGGAGGGAAAAAATTGAGGTCATTGCTGACAAGACAAAGAAAACGCGGTCACTGCGCTGGTCCAGTCGGAGGAGAGTGGCAAAGGGGCGGTGCAAAAACAAAAAGACAGACAGCAAAAAGACTGTGGTAGGGAGGAAGGTAAGTAGCGAAGAGAGGAAAATAATATCCGAGCTTGTCTACGTAAGTAAGCCAATCTTGGGACCACATCGTGTGTGTGTGTGTGTGTGTGTGTGTGTGTGCGTTGTTCAGGACCCTAAAATGAATAACAAAAATGAATTCTTCAATCAAAATAACAAGTTTAAGTTTACACAATGTTTCTTATCGCAGCTGAGGAAGACGGGAAACAGGCATTGGCCCCGCCGAAAAAAAGGGCCTTTCTCTCTCTCCCCAAAAGATTTGGGGGGCAACATGTTGTAAATTCTGACACTTCTCTCTCTACTTACCGCAAATAACTCGGAAGCAAAAAAACCCAATCTGCGCGAAAACATGTTCTACATGTTGTCATGTTCGGGCCTTTTTCTTTCAAATCAATGTGCAATAGATGCTATGAGTTTACCGTTTATGGAATTCTGGATAACGCGAGATGAGAAATACCGGCATGTGTTTTTATTTATTTATTTTGGTCTTTGCTGCGTTCGTACGAATGAAGGGAAAGGTAGCATTAGCACTTTAGAATAATATCCTTGTTGGTTTTCGGAATCGAAAAATACTTGTCATGACACAGGGGGGTTTTTTTTAAAAAAAAAATTCTGTAAACAGCAACTGTCAAAAATTTCTCTATTCCATCTTCTCTCGGAAATTTCAGAGGTCGCTCTCTCTCTCTCTCTCTCTGTCTCCAATCCCCCATTCCTTGAAGGAAAACACAGTTGCGGGGATAGTTTTTTTTTTAGGGATTTTAACATCAGAATAGGTGACCCTCTGCGGACCTTTCTCAATCACGAAATCTAATCATTCAATTATTCCCAACGTAGAGGGAACTTCAAAGGAAATATTAGATAGACGTTGCGGCAATTCGTTTCTTGAGGTCGTCATCCATTCAAGGGCGGGTATTATCACTGCTAGCTTCTAATGTTTCTTCTCTAACAAAATCTAATTTTTAGTTTCATAAACAGAAGAGGCTTCTTTTTATAATTTGCCTTTTCAAGCTCTATTTTCTCAAGAGCGGCGAGTTCCTTGGTACTCCTTTGTACCTAGAGCCTTCAATGCAAGCAATTTAGCATGTTGAATTTTGTCATGGCTGGGGATTTACTTCTCGATAATCGATAAATATACTTTAATATCCTGTATCAACATCACCTTGATCGACGATGATCGAAACGGGCTCTGGGATAGTAATACCAACAAGGGCGTCAGAACGATATGTGTATCTCTCATGGTATACTGGTAAAGCAAGAGGGTTCCGATCACGGCTATATACAAATATTCTTGAAGACTGCAAATTTTGTCTTGCCACAGTAGCTCAATGTATTGCTACACTTTCCTACGTGTAAGGGGATTTAGGGAGGGGGGGGCTGGTAGGTAGAGAATTATGGGACTGTCGAATGCGTAAAAGGGGGAGGTGGTACCTGTGGAATATTATCTCGCCGATGGTAGGATTGGATATCTGAGCGCATGTATACAGTTTCATGGTAATTTTTACTTACATGAGGTCTTCATATTGTACATCCTGCATGCATGCACTAAGCCTTGGATTTGCCATTCTTTGTTAGGTGCATGGCTGTTAGTTGTAAATATCGAGCTGACGATTATACACGTCTTGGAACTCGATTCAGGGGAAGATATAGGCCTGGTTCGATGTCATTGACATCTTCGGAACCCTTAGAACAGATCCCTTCTTCGAAACGTTTTGTTGGTTATATAGCCATTGGTTGCTGAGGACACGATGATATTGATCCACATCGAATAATTATAACGTGACCATGTTCCGAAGGCTGGTTTCATTAAGCAGGGATTCTAGCAGGAATAAAAGACAAAGATCATAGTGCTTGAAAATTTCGCATTTTCATGTAACGACTAGAGGGCAAAGAGTCCATCCTCTTCCTCTCTTTACACCCATCGATGATTAAATGCATCTCACCATTTCCAGCCTGTGTCAACCTTGCATCGTCAGATTAAAGCCCAGAAGAAGTATATGATGTGCTGTAGAGCTTTTTCTCGTCCTTTTCGCTACGTTTGCCAATTGCTATATTCTACATAACACTCCCACTATTGGAGGTATTACTGGTCATGCGTTAGAAAGTAGGGGCACTCAGCAGCTACTTTTGGAAGAACTGTTGAAGTATTCCTGCGGCTTCTTGTAGAAAGTTCATACTATGACTGGATAGGTCGACCAGTCTTACATCCAGTATCCTATTGGGCGAATTTCTGATACTGGACTGAGTCAATCTGTCACTTTAGTGTGATCAAGAAAAGTCTCGTAGGAACACTTGACACTAGAACAATGACCAGGTGCCTAGGGTTTTATTTGGGAGGCTACGTATTTCACCCTGGTGCTATTTTGGTAGGCAAAGGAGAGGTGATGATCTTGCCATAACAATTTGCATCAGTATCTCCATCCCCAGGAGAGCGACCTTAGAGGAATCTTTCGAAGAATGAAGCCGACATATCACCAAGAACCGGATCAATCTACTGAGGAGAGTTTTCTTGGATGACCTCTTCGCAGCTACTTTACAGAATCGACAGGCCACTACATAAAATCCGCCATCACCTCAACGAGAAACAGTACCTTGCCTTCAAGCTCCATTCCAGACGACCTTGAGACATACCTAGAAGTATCACTCTATGCTAGTACACACTCTTCTGGTATCCAAAGAGCCCGAGTCTCATGCTATCCAGAACCCCCCCAGACATCTCAGAAGCACTCGCTTCCGCCATTGCAACAGACAGTTACGGTGGAATTTAGTGAATGAGAAGTCTGAGCAGCCTGGAAACAAGGATGAATTACAGTTCGGTGTGCTTACAAGCCTGAAGCCTTAAGTGAGAAAGTCACAAGGAAATATGACCCAGCCTGGCATCTGTTGAGGTGCCACTGCCATCAGTCTCTAGGGGGGGCTTCAAATAAACCTTGTATATGCTGTGGTGCGTTCTCAGACACATGTGGAAGCGGGTCTCGTGGCTTGTGCATATAGTGGCTATGGATGCGATGCCCAGACTTACTAGGAAATGGTTGAGCAGTGCCCATATGTTTTCTGATGGTGCAATGTAGGCTGTACCATTAATTTCTAGGAAGTGTACTAGTAGTGACAGAAGAAATAGCATGGTATCTTGATACTAGAACGTCACCTCCATTTCTCCTGCGCCTTATTTACTAACAACAGGAAAGGTAAGGTTCGGACTACTCTAGTTGCTTACGTCAAGACTGGCTCTTCTTTCTTGACCAAACAAAATGCGATTAAACATTTTTGAGAGACTCTCGGGCTACATATTTACTATCTACTAGACTATCTCAGTGATGCCCTATAGCAAAATCCTCCCCAGAAAGCATCCATCCACGAGACCAAGCAACCTATTTTCCACAGCTTGGACCGCCTACTCTTTGCCGTGTATACACGCCCTCGTATGGCGCAGATGAGAAAGTAAAACAAATTATGCAAAAATTGTGTATATAAAAAATGCGTCTCTAACAGCAATGCCTTCGTATAATCGTTTGATGTGTGAATCTAAGAGTATAAATGAACGAGTAAACTCTTTTCGAGCAAAGGTTGGAAAAGACTGAGAAGCTGCAAACGGCCATCTAGATTCAGTATTAAATAGCCAAAGAATAGATGATTTTATTTAAGAGAAATAAAAGAGTTAGATAGGAGAATCATCATCATCATCATCGCAGTGGGGATGTCGCTCGCCCATCTACGGGGGTTGGCTCTGTAGTAATCTGTATACTGGGCAGCCGTTCCAGGTCCAGATTCAGAGCCGGTAATTGCGGGGCTCTGGTATTGATAGGGCTTTCGTAGTTTGGTGGGTCTTCGTATGCAGGGGCTTCTTCTGCTGGAATGTCTACGTGTGGCGACGGTGCGCTGCTTCCACTGCGACTTGTTTCTGGGTTTAGAGATATCACCTCGAACCCTTCACTGTTGCCGTTCGAATGTGAGTGCGAGCTGGTACGGGAAGCATCGGCAAAGTCGTAGTCGTCGGATCCGTGGGACTCGACAGATTGGGCGAGGGAGGTTACGGAGAGGCCGCGTTGATGGGTATCGTTAGTGTAGCCACGAGACCGACCGCCTCCACTAGCAAACGAGGCGGCCGAGTCAAGCAGGGGACGATGGTCGCTCTCTGAAGAGTTTGCGCGTAAACGAGTGCCATCGTGCCTTGCAACACCGAGATCACCATAGGCTACAGACGAGACTCGTTGCTCACGGCTTCGTGTTCTGGCTTGATGCTCTGCAATGAGCATTTGTGATACAGAGAGATCTGCTGCCTCTTCTGCTCTTCGTCGAATGTCTGCAAGTGCCTGGACGTCGCCTCGTGCCCGTGCCTCTCTCCGCGCTTGTCGGCGTGCTTCTCGTTCCGCTGCTTCGACTCGTCGTGCCAGTCGGATTTGGTACAGAGACTCCATCTCCTGCTCTCGTTGCATTTCTTCTTCATCTTGTGTTTCTGGGAGTTCAATGACGTTGTCCATGCCTGCCCGTTCGCCCTCTCGTGCCAGCACCCTCTCGTTTTCCCTCGCGGCGGAAGAGTATGCAGGGAGCGTCATAACACTGCGAATTGAGGTATTCCGGTCAACGCCATTCGCGTTGGTGCTGCCAATGTGCCTCTCGGGATCTCCTGTTGCTGCGCCGCTCATCTCACCGCTTGCTCTACTGGTGCTTCCGCGGTACTCGGTATCCTGCAAACTGGTCGAGTACTCATTTCGGCGCGGGCGCTTGCGGAAGTTCTTCCACGAGAACAGCGAGGGTAGCTTGTCTTTTTGTGCCTGTTGGGCTTTGCGGGCGTTGGCGGACGGTGCGCGATACTTTATGGTGAGGAAGTATGTGATTATGAGTATCGTAAAGATACCTCCGGTAGCGATTCCAACCTGTGTGGCAAAGCGTTAGCAAAATTTGAGTCGGGCAAAGCGTTCGGGGTTGGTTGTAGCAGGCGGGCAAGGACGGGAGGGATTCGACATACAACAACAAAGGTCCTGGCCTGGTTGGAGAGTTCTCGTTTCCCCAAAGCCTCGTCGGTGGCATGATGGGCGGGCAAAAACATAGTACTGATAAGACCCTGTACCGGTCCGGTCGGAAGGTCGAAACGTCGAAACGGCCAAACGGTCAAACGGTAAGTGCGTCAACCAAGAAGTGTGAACGGAGCTTTGTTTTCGCAATGAGATCACTCGTTCCGAGTAGTGTGGATCGCCCAGGCTTCGGCAGGTCCGCGTCCTCGGCCTTGTTATGCGCTACTAAGAGGCGTCGAACCGTTGCGGCCAAACAGCCAGGCAAGCGTCGCGAAGCCCGTGTCTGTGGTTAGGATGTTCGGCGTTATAGGTGTATAGAAATGGGAACAAGTGAACAGCAATGGGGAGGGGAACTGGTGTAAGCTATGTTCTGGGCTGCGCCCGGATACCTGCCTTGGCGGCTGGCTGATGAATGATGCAGAATGCTGTGTTGATTGGAAGCTGTGGCCAGGGGTCTGTGGCTGGGGCCCTAGGCTAAGGAGAAGGCTGCGTATACATCCCAGCTTCAAAAGAAACATGTACATGTCACTATCATGCCGATTGACCACTTTGCTGTCCACATGCGGGGTTCTGGCATCACCGGCACCATCATCGACTTTTACCTCTAGCTTTCTCACATCAGCGTTGGGAGGCAAACTCTAGCCTTGTCATTCCAAAAGCCTCGTGCTATTTTTGGGTGCTTGCAGACTCAAGGATACGCTAGCACCAAATTCTGATTAGACCTAGCCCTCGGCCGGCATAGCAACCGCAAATTCACGTGCGTATTCATGCGTCGATCTATCCCCTCAAAGTGGCACAGTCGACCTTGTCCCCCTTGTGGCGGTGAAATGTATACAGGGGTATGTTTGTAATTTCATCAATCAAGGCCGTCACTCCGTCACACGTCTACGCTTGCTAAAAAAAGTTTCAAAGGAGGTACAAAAACATTGCGCTCGTTTGACGGGCCCTCAAAATTTCTTGTCCAATTTCTTCAAGAAACTGCCAATGCCCTTCTCAACCTTGTCTACCCGTTTGCCAATGTTGGAGTTGCGTTGTGGTGCATTTGGGTTCTCGTGGTGGTGCACAGCAGCTTCGCTCTCAGTCGGCCTGTAGACCTGCTGGTGTATGTTCTGCGCTTGTGTTGCCTGTGCTGCTGTACTACCGTATTGAAATTGTGAGTAGCCAGGAGAAGCCATGGGCTGGTACTGCTGGGGTGGAAAGCCAGGCGAGGGCACGGCTGAATGTGCTGGAGGAGAATGAGGAGCTGGAGGAAAGCCAGGGGAATTGGGGTAGTTGGCACTGGCATACTGTTGAACAGGCATGGTCGAAGTCCGGCTCAATCCTGGCGGGGGTGGAGTGTTGTTGACTTGACCTAGGGGAGGAGCAGATGGTGGTGGCGCAAATGATGGCGGGCTCTGTGGTGCACTTGGTACTGACCCTGTAGTGTTTGTACGCTGCACACCAGGTGGACCAGTGAAGCCTTGTCCTGGAGCAGGTGGTCCAGGAAAGTATGCTCCCGACGTTGGCTGGGGGGCGAACGATGCTTGTAAAGGATTGCTGTACTGCGCGGCATGCTGGTCATGCACAGCAGAGGCTCCAAGACCAGTTCCATCACTGGCATCTTCTGGCGGGGGTGTCTTCTCGCGATGAGCAATGGGTTCAGGGGCGGCAGGCGCAGCAGGGTTGTAAGCCATTGGGGCGTAGTTGGGCGGTTGCTCGCTTGCAGGGGGTGATGTTGGTGGGGGAGCACTTGGAGGACCAGGGAATGACTGTGTAGTGCTGATACTTGGGCTCCGGCTAGTGTGTGATATCGCCGCATTCTCCAGTCGAGCGATGACGGGACTGAACGTATCGTTCTTGTGCTCGGAGTGTATTGGGGTTGCATTGGGGTTGCGCGTGATCTGTAGTTGGTGTGGCTGTAGTACTCTCCGGATGGAGTCTAGAAAGAGACTCGCGTCCTCTGGCGTCCAAAAGTATATATCTACTGTATGTAGCCTGTACATGTATTTGCCCTGGTTCGAGGGGTCAGGGGTAGGGAGGTGCCATTGCGACATGTCCTGATGAGGGCTTGCGGTTCCATTGTGGCTTTGAAATGCGTCGACTGTCAGGGTGAACAGACATGGGTGCTTGTATGTCTGCTCAATCTTCACTGTGTCCAGCTCTGTGCAGTACCCGCCATCAGCCTTTGCGCCCTGTAAGACATATCTTTTCGCGAAGACTTACGACCGGCAAATGCATCTTGATGGGGAGTGCCTGCATGGTTTGCTATCTCGATGCGCCCACTCTGGCGCATGGGATTGTGGTAGAGATAGACATAGGAGCTCTTGTCGAAGCGGTGGTGCGGGGGGTTTTGTGTAGGCGGAGAGATGTAGTAGTGCACATCTGCGAAGCTGTGGAAAATGTCAGAAAATAGGGCGTTTCCCGCCTAAAGGCGTACTACTTACAGTGTCAAGAGTGACACTTCACCCTGCTGTGGAGGCATTGTGTTAGTGTGAGTGTGTGTCTAGTCGGGCGTCCAAGCTATCTGACAGCCTAATATGTGGAGAAGGCTGCGGCTGAGTAGTAGTAACGCCAGATTGTTAGCATTCAAGACGAGCATGGAGAAATCAAAGGCATATATAGGGTACAAGGCTATCATGTAATCGGACCATAGCTCCTGGCAATAGCTGCGTAGACTTCTATTTGTGTCGTCCTCGAAGCGCCCGCCTGTTAGCGGGGGAGTTGACTAGGCGCTGGCAAGCTTCCATCGAATCGCAGTCGCCGAGGGACGATCCACCCGTGACTTGCGGACTTCCGAGCCAATCCAGAAATTTGCTGCAATTGAACAATCCGCCGACAACACCACGACGCGCAATTGAGCCTCGCCGCTACGTCGAGCATCGCCGCCAACTGATTGCGAAGCCAGTACAGCCCATCGCCTGGAGAACATAACCCCCCTCCCTCCCCCGCCATCGCGCCCGCTCGCTTCTCAGCCCATTGAGGGCAAAATCCTATCACCACCACCGCCATGTCTCTCGTCAACCTAGCACACGTGTGCTCGCACATGCAAAATGCATCCAAAGCCAGACTCGGGCTGACGTCAATACCCGTCTCTAAAATGCATGTCAAAATTGCGCTGGGCCTACAGCGCGAAGGCTTCCTCTCTTCTGTCACGCTCGGCGGACCCACACCACCAAAGCCTTTTCTCCTACAAGCACAACAAGATCCCGAGCAATTAGAACATATGGCGCAAAAGCTCAAAGACGAGCCCTGGCTTGCCTACCCAGTCACGACTCCACGAGGCCAGAAAGAGCAGGCGCCACTCGGCCACGAGCAGGTTCACGACGTACACGTACCAGAGAACCCGGCGCGGAGGAGATTATGGCTGGGACTGAAGTACTGGCAGAACGAGCCAGTTCTGACCAACATGAAGCTGATCTCAAAGCCCACACGGCGGATATGGCTGACGAGCGAGGATCTGGGCAAGATTACACGAACGCGCGAGTCGAGCTACGTAAAGGGACTTACGCATCCTGGCGAGTGCATGTTTGTCACGACAGATCGGGGCATCCTAGAGGCAAGAGAGTGTGTGGAGCGGCAATTGGGAGGCATGGCTCTTTTCAGAGTGTGGTAGCAGCAGTATCACTGTACTATGTATTTTGTAAGAGGTCTTTGCACCGGTATCACGAGAAAGAGGAATTGCATATATGGGAGCAGGGCCGGCATGGAATCCGCGCACCATGCATTTTGTACAAAAGAAGATATCAACTACATTCTCATACCGCAAGTCGTCAAGCCGTGTTTTTTGTAACCATGGGAAATGCCTTGCTGGTCATGCCCAAAGCTCTTCAGAGGCCCTGTGAGAAAGAATTGCTCGTGTGGTGTTAGCTCACTAGCGTCGTGGTCGGGCTGCAGCGGTGTAAGGCGTGTCAGGGACTCAGGGTCGATGCGAGTCAAACGTCGCCCTATGCAAACCACGGATATCCCGGCATCAACAACTTTGTTTTCTACGTGGTTGACCGGTTTTTTGTCAATTGACACGTTGTTTGGCCCCACACAACTTAGCCGTTGCTAGTGTGAGCAAGTCTATGTTTGCCCAAGTCATCATGGCCATGTTATTGTTGGTGGAGTTTGAAATCATATTCGAGATTATGCGGCTATCTACAATAAACAAACAATGCAAAACCTCGACACTAGGGGATATCCTCATACAATCGTCGTAATCGTGCCAATTCATTCCACTTGTGTTCCAATACCTGCACCTGCAGACATTGGCGAAATGGCGGCATTTCCAAGAAAATTCGTAATATAATCACATTCGTCTGCCACATGTTCCCAAACCCTCGTGGGTCCCGGATTCTCATACTCATGATATTCTGATTATGCAAACGTTTCATACTCGTGACAGCAAGCGCTTATACAACATAGCTGCGTCGGCTGCGGCTGCGGCTGCGGGTGGAGGAGTAGCGGGGGCTACGAGAGCGGTGGCCGTGACGAGATCGGTGAACTTCGCGCTTAACGATGACACGATCTTCACGGTGATGGCGGCTAACGAGCAGGGCCAGGATTGAAGTGATGAAGAAGAAAATGATGTTCCTGAGTTCGGTGTTAGTACCAGCGTACTTGTTTATCGGGTTGAAATACTTACATGATTCCGAATGCCCACGACGCCTTGAGCATAGCACAGGAACGGTCCACGTCCAAACCCCAGGTGTTTCCAGAAACGGTGAACAACCCCAGATCGGTGCTGTAAGATCCTCTGCGATTGATGCTGGAGCAGTCTGCATCAGCGATGCCTCGGAGCGCATAGACGGCACCAATAAAGGCGCCAACGAACAAGAGGTCGACAAAGGCAACGAATTTAGCGGAGTGCCTGGCGCGTGTGTAGAGAAAGAGAGTGGCCATGACCCATGCTGCACCGAGTACCGAGACGATGAAGAGAACAAGAATGGATGTTGGGGTGAGGAGCTGGCGCGAGTTGTACCAATCGACGAACCAGGCCAGCATACCCAGCGTCGGTATGAGGGTGACGAACTGGAAGATGCGCCAGAAGATGAAGGACAAGCCGGCGAAGGACATGATGGTAGTCGGTGCGGGCAAGGCGGCCTCGACGCAAGAGAGAGTTATGTGTAGTGGGAGAGCAGCAGATGGGTGAGGCCCGGTGGGGTACTACTGCAATGCGACGAGAAGATGCAGAATGACGACGCGCAGAAGCAGAAGCAGAAGAAGGGTCGAATGGTGTGCTTTTATGATTTGGAGCGGTCCAGGGTCAGTTTCTGCCTTGCCTACGAGCGGGCGATGGTATGCGACAATGCTCGGGGAGGTGAGCCGATGTGACGTATTGTAGATGGAAACCGGGCGCGATACTTTAAAGTGGGCATGGGCGAATGGCGGGGGAGGCTGGTATTGTGTGGCTGGATGGTGCCTTCTGCATTTCTGGCCAACCAACACACCACCATGTCCTCGTCAAACAACATACCCACTCACCCACACCACCCATACACACACCGGCCTCGAGCCAGCAGCCGCTATCAAACGTCTTCGCAGCGCTAACCCTCTATCCACACGCCAGACCCCCAATCCTCGGTGCGTCGTCGCTACGCTGGGTTCGCGTTCAAGCCGCCAGCGCACATAGGCGGGCATGAGCGGTGGGCCCAGGCAGCTTGAACACACACAGCTGTCGCCGCCCAACCCACTTCCCGTGTGCCAGACGCACCACTGAGAGAGATGGATGCCATCCAATCCAGCATTCCCCGGCCCCGCCCTGCAGGCGAGCTTTTTGCTCATCATCCAGCGCCCTGGGTCCAAGCTCCCCTACCCTAGGTGTAGTATGTACGCTATCTGCGTCTCCAGACCAAAGTTGAGCCCTGTGTCAATCTGTCAATCCCGAGCCCGTGTCAATCATCGTTCTCCAAGTATGTAGAGTGCAGTATCCCATGCTAGCGTCTCCTGAACGTCACACTGTGTCAGCAAGATTCGACTCCCGTCGTGCCGTCTCCGTCCCCTATTCAACAGCAAGGAGATTGCTGACGCCTGAGACGAGCACAACAGCCGGCTTGTCAACATACTCGGCTGGGCCACTTCTCCGCCTTTGACCCCCGACACCCAAGACATGCACTGCTATTGGCCTCCCTGTCCGGCTATGCAGCTTTCCTGCAAAGACGTCGCTTTTGCTCTGTGGCTGCTCGCTTCGCGGATGAACATGCAGCAACCGGTAGGCGTAAAGTTCTTATCAGCAGCCAGTCCGCATCTGACACTGCCCTGTGCTCCGCATCCTGAGTGCCGGGACGGACAGACATCAATCTTCGAGAACAGCTAGATTCCAATATGTATTGCTCCAGCCCATGCAGCTGCAGGCAACCTGGTCAATCCCAAACCTATCCCGCTCTCCATACTTTCTGGACCTTTGTTTGTGTTCTTATGTGCCTGTGTTGGTTGCCTTGACGCCTTCCTGCGGCGTAGTCGCATTTTCTTTCAGCTGCGCTCTTGCCTGTCCCTATTTCAACCGAGTACTACGACTTTGGCAAATCGTCCCAACATATATTGTCCTTTTGTTGATGACACTTCGGCTATGCTGCACAATTCAAGTATCCACTGGAAACGTTAAGCCATCAACCAGCGCCACAGATTGTCTGACACGAAAGTATCCAAATCCCCCGAATCCTCGTCAGATTCGCCCAGGAAAGTTTTCTGGATATTCGATACTGCCCTCACACGACCCCACATCACTACCAAGGACGTATCTCTAAACACAACTCAGGGGTTCCGTCTGCAATATCGCTTAGAAATGTCGGCTCGAGGCGCTCGAAGTCGGAAAGTCCAGCAAAAGCAAGTCGAGAAAAACGAAAAAAAAGGCTTAACCAAAGGCAAATCCCCAGAACCCATCTCTGAAAGTCATGATACATTTGCAGAATGGCACACTTCGCCCGAAATCACTAGCCCAAGGACCGGTATTTCTCGTTCTCTCACAGTGTCTAGCAGCAATACAGATGTGTCGTCGGAAAGTCGGTCGCGAAGAATAAAACCATCAACAGCTGAGTCGGCCTCGGTGTCGGACGTGTCTTCGAAGGGCAAAGAGAACATGAAATTTCAGGGCAAAGGCAAGGATACTGCAGCACCTCGCGGCAGAGGCGGGGGCGTCCCAACAAAGAAAACGGTTGCGCCTTCACCTATACCTCCAGTATTTCGATCTGAGCCGGCGGCTCCCTACTCCTTGTCGCCTAATCAAAAGACATGGATGAACTTCAAAGTATGGAAAGGAGGCAAAGACGGAATGCGCCCTTACGGAGGGTTTGAATATGTATGTATTCGTTACTGATTCGTAGCATCACGCTTGTCTCTGACATAATGTACCAGGATGAAGACATGCAGCATGGGAGTGTGCTCATTTACTTCAAAGAGGAGCAGGCTGACGATGATCGCCCAATGCCCTCTATAAGAGCAGAACTGGAAGTACTGCAGAATGCAGGCTCTACTTGGCTGAACAACGCTCTGCTCTACGGTCAAATAGACGACAACGATGTCGATGACTGGACACTTTCGGAAAGCGCAAGCTCGGCATCTGGGCGGCTTTCGCCAAATCTTCCACAATCTACTCAGACACGAATGCTGAGTCCAACTTCTTCAAATGGGAGATCTCCATCATCCTACAATATCGACCAAGTACATTCTAGTATAGATTCTAGAGCTGCCTCCAGGAACCACCATCTAGATCGTTCAAGCTCGCCTCCGTCGTTTCGTCAGACCAAAAAATGCAATGCTACCCATGAGATATGGTTCACAGCACCAAGCAAGGTGAAGACGCCTCAGGCGCAAAGATTACACTTTGTCGCTATCCGCAATTTTTTGGCAATGTTGCATGGAAAGCCCATCGTCGGTTCAGATGTGTATGAAATGCTGTGCACACTACAACCAGAGATACAAGTGATGTACGACCTTGATTCAGATGCCAGATCAGGCATAACGGCTCGGGAGCGTAGCGTACAAATGATTACAAACTACCTGGGTCAACACGGCTTAGACGACTTGCGCGGCAATATCCAGCATGCTCTTGGACTTCTCGCATGGGCGGAGCAAGACACTGTGAGATGGAGACAAGGATACCTCGAAAGTTTTGTCCACTTGTCTGGCGTCATGACACCAGAACTTGAAGACCGTTCAGACTTTAAGCGTTTGTCAGTCGTCACTCGACGGAACCTAGGCATTGCCGGAAAGACGTTGCGACTGCGTATCATGGAGGCGGAGGATAAACTGTCCAGTTTCGACTTCAGTGATCTATGGGAAGATATGCCAAAGGCCACCAATAGTCCGGTTTACCAGAGCTATCAACATTTTCGACAGTTTCTCATCTCCCATTTCACAGGCATCTACGGCAATTGGCCACCGAGTTCTGACAAAACCTGGCTCAACCGCAAAGTGGTGCATGGACTACAGGAAGACTTTGGGTCTCTTTACGAATATTTTGTCGATCGAGATGTTTTCTGGAATCCCAGGGAAGAGCGCGCAACTAGAAAATGGGAGATGGCCCATCGCAAGAATGATAACTTCAGTGCAGATCTACCGGAGCTTGGAATGACGGACATGTTGGTCAGATACGACGCGAAGAATGGCTATGCACATATACCACATCCATACCCTTTACTGCCAAGGGAGGTACCAAAAGATGTCAAAGAAAAAGAGAAGAAGGGCTTCTTTGCATCACTGAAGAAGGATAAGGCCAAGGATACCACAAAAGACGCGAAAGCAAACTTGCAGCTTTCTATTATCTTCAGTGATGCGACGAACATTGAAAAGCTAGAGGCCAACTTCCATGGTAAGCTGATGTTATCGGGAGACTACAGTAACTTTGTTCTGACCAGTGTGCTACCCAGGATCTACTCTGATCGATAAATGCGAGCAATTCGAGCTCACGACCAGCCTGAAGCAAATGTCGCCACGCGAAGCACGTCTCGGACGCTGGGTGCTTCTCTACGGAATCCTTCAAGTCCTCTCCACTCTGTCCGTTGACGTCCAAGGCCTTAAGTACACTGACGGGGTCCGATACTTCCTCAATACAGACTTGAAGCGCCTGCCTGAATGGGTGAGTAACGGCCAGGCAGAGCACTTGGAAGCCACACAACAGCAATCATGGTGCTGGCAGCGTTCATGGGACCCCATGCCCATTCCCAACGCCCCTGTGGAACTCGAGGCCCCACTGCGTAATGAACGCACCAACCGTTCCGACAACTCGCGCAGTGTTGAAGCAGCAGCGCATTCTTTTCCTAGCCCACCGCCTCAACATGCACTACCCCCACCCCCACCCAGTCTTGATGGGGCGACCCTGATGCAAAACGAAATCCAACGTCTCGGCGAGAAAATCGACAACTTCTCCCTGTCCCACAAGGCAATTCCTAGCTTGAACGAAGACTACGAACGCGTGATACAAGATGGAATGCACGATTGGAAACCACGATTACAAGGCGAGACGTTTGGACCACGCGCAACGCGTGAGAGCCATCGCGATAACACAAACACCACCAACGGCAATGCTATCCTGAGTCCAAGAGTAGACTCGCTCTCTCACCATCATCCCGAATCCGCTCTCCCTCCACCCCGAACCCAGTCGCGCATGGAAGACAGTTTCCGGCTTACAAGACCCGACTTTGACAGCCCAGACAACTCGTTTCTCGACCGCCGACAACCCGACAGCGTGCTCCAGCATCCGCTCAACACTTCTGCGCGGAGCCATGCTAATATTACAAGTGTGGATACAGACCTCGGAAGCTATCCCTTTAGCTCGAGCGAAATGCAATGGCCCGTTCCGCCAGGGTACACGGAAAGCAATGCCAACGCATTGTTTAACAATCGGGACAGCACGGTACTGGGGAATAACCAAGGGCAGAGGGAATACGGGACAGGAGCGAGGATGGGTCAGCGGCGGGTGCGTGATAGGAGCGGGTGGGATTAATGACGAGGTTTTCTTTCCGGTTATTTCAGGGGGTCAAAAAAGGCAAAAAGAAAGGGGTATGTGTGTGGGTGTGGAACAGGACATGGCATCTAATCTTGAGGGGGCGAAATGTTGGATACCCTTTCTTTTTTTCTAGTTGTTACTTTTTAATCGTATCATGCTTATCTGTGGGCTGGCATTGGGGTGAGAGAAAAAGTAATATGGTTTGTAGTTCATAGGGTAGTGAGGGTCCTCGGCGTACGAAGAAAAAGTCCAAAAAGGCGTACGTATGTATGTGTGCATTAAAAATATATGGGGGAGTATTTCTTTACTACGTATACTTCATGTTTGATCGTCGTCATCATCCATTGCCTAGTGAGAAGAAAGCTCTTCTCTTCTCACGGGCTTCCTGCTCTGAAGGTAGGGTCTCGTTCCTTGGCCGCCCGCGCTTCCCTTTCTTGGGCATAGATTTTGGCGCACTGGATGGCTTGCCTGTGGCCGGCAACGGTGCCGTAGACTTGACTACTTCCTTGATAGTCTGTTTAGAAAGACAAAAGTCAATGTGCGCATTGAAACTCGCGTCGTCTGGGGGTTGCGGAATGTTGCAGATGGGACATTGCCACTGTGTGTTGGGGGCGGCCTCCTTGTCCTGTTGTTCTTGTTCTTGCGATAGCTTCTCGAGCTCATTCATTTCATCATTACGTTCCTGTCTCGCAGCTTCTTCAAATTCTTCTTCGGGCCAAGTTTCCCATTCCTCATCTTCTTTCGGCTCCGGCTTTTTGGTAGTGGCTGAGGATGCCTTGGCAGCACGACCAAAGAAGTCGATTCCAGGCTTCTTGGTGCTGATGATATGTGTGACTCGTAGACCCATCAGCCGCAACCGCATGTTTGGGATTTCCTTCATGAGCTTCTCCAGTATTGGCAGACTATACTTGTACAAATCTTCTGCTTTGTGGACGGCAAACGGCGGCGTGATTTGTCGTGTATGCACTTCGTACGTGTGAAGTTTGATCTTGATACAGAGGGTCCTGCCTTTGTATTCGGTGCGCTTGAGATCGCCTTCCAGCTCTTCAGCTACGAAACGAAGCTTCTCGCGCAGAGCATCTGGGGACTGCAACTCTTTGAAGGTCGTTTCAGTGCCAACGCTTTTCCGCTCATAGTCTTCCGCCCGTTTGATGACAGTGCGTCCAAGACCCAGATAGCATTGCATGAGGAATTGAAATGCCTTCTGGCCAAAGAGTTTTGCCAGGTACGCTCTGTGGGCGTAGATGTCGCCGCATGTCTTCAGGCCTATGGCATCTAGCTCTCGTTCAAAGACACGGCCAATACCGTTGACTTTTCGCGTGGGCAGTGTTTCCATGAATTCCATGATGGTCTGTCTGTTACTAGGAAGTAAGAATTGTCCGTTAGGCTTGTTTATATTGGAGCAAATCTTAGCAAGCTTTGCATTGGCGGCAATACCGGCAGATACGGTAATCTTGGCCTTTTCGTAGACATCGGCACGCATCTGGTTGACGGCTTCCTCGGCAGTCATGTGATGCTCGTTGCAGTATTCCGTGAGGTTGAGATAAGCCTCGTCACAGCTGGCACTCTCAAAATTCGGATCATACAGCGCCAGCACCTGACGCACCTCCTCTGCCTTGGCCGTGTACTTTTGGAAATTCATGGGCACACAAATAAGCTGTGGACAAAGCTTCATGGCGACAAAGCCTGCCATTCCCGAGCGGCAACCAAACTTTCTCGCGTGGTAGTTGCACGTTGTCAAGACGCCCTTTCCCACAGCAAAAGGAACGTCCTTGAGCTCCGGTCTATCGAGCTCCTCAACGGCGGCAAAGAAGGCATCACAGTCGAGATGGACGATGATCTGAGTCAGATCCCTGCCCAGCTCCAGCTCGGCGATGTAGTCGTCGGCTCTACGCAAGTCGGAGGTCAAGTCGACCTTCTCGAGGTGGCGCCTCTTGGCCAGGATCTTCTCGATCTTGTCTGTGAGGTTCTTGTCCTTGGCCTCTTCATTGTTGAAGAACTTGGAGCCCTTTGAGGCGTTGTATATGATGTCCGAGACCTTTGACTGGTCGACCGAGTCCTGGCCTGCCTTTGTGAGCGAGGGGCCGAGCAGATGGTACTTGAGGGACTCGTGCTCGGTCGAGGGCGTGCGTGCAGGCAGCGGGCGCTCGGGAGAGGGTCGAGTGGTCATGGTGGTTGAGGCGTCGTGGTGGACGCCGGGGCCAGGGCCATTCTGGAGGTCGGCAGCGGCAGGATGAGATGAGGATGTGGTGTCGGTGAAGGGGCCGACCCTGCACCGCTCAGCATTGCTCATGATATTAAGTGGGGAGTCATTTTGGCGGGAGGGCGAAAAGGACGGGGGCGCCGCTAAGACGCGAGGTGAGGAGAGAGGGCGTCGGGCGGCCATGACGCGCCTGGCCACTTGTTCCGCTTGGGGCCTAGCGCGTTGTGCAACCTTGAGGGTCTTTCAGGGCCGCCAGATGTCGTTCATCTCAGTGCAGACGCAGACGCAGAAGCGGAGCCAGAACGCCCCCTCTTTTGCTGCTGTTCACGCCCGCCTGACCATGGGCTCAACACCAATCAATCTACATCCTCACCCGCTGCCACTGTAGAAGTGGGGCCTTGCACGTAAATCTGAGGCTGTCGTGACCCTGTAGACACCCGACACGCCAGCTAGCGGCAACCATCAACAACCATCGTCAACACCGCCCTTAGGCCCGCCTCCCGCCCATTGCCTTCCTCGCCTGCAGGCCATGAGCTCCCTCTGCACCAGCCGCCTCCATCCCACACTGTAGCCCCGCCACCCTGGAGAATGCCCATCGAACGAACCGACCGCAATAACCCACGGCCGCTGAAGCCGACGCTCGCTAGTACCCGACCTGCTCCTGCGAAGACGCCCTTGACCCCGAGGCTGGCCGTTGCCTCGTCCGCCTCGTCCACCGTCAGCTCCTCGAGTACACGCACTGCCCGTACCAGCACCGGTGCTCCCACAAGGCCTCATGTCGCCGCCTCTGCTGTCGACAGCGGCACGTCCGCCAAGGCCTTCCTCACCACCAGTGTCACGCCGCGCACCTCGTCACGCAAGTCGCGTGGCGGCGTAGACAGCGCTTCCACGACGCCCAATGCTACCCCGACAAACTCACGCCCGAGCTCTACCGTCGACTTTCCCCACCGCGACCACCACAGCACCATCAGCAGCAGCCACAGCGCCGTTGGAAGGAGCAGCGGAGGTACTGCACGCCCACGCAGTACCCCTGGACCGACCAGCCATGCCGCGCCCACGCCCCGGGCCCCCGTAGCCAGCATGTACAACTACGCGCCATCCGATACTGGATCCAGAAGAGATACTTCCTCCTTATTCTTCCACGCCAATGACGCCCGCCCGCACGACCAACCCGCGCCTGGCCCAGCACCCGTCAAGAAGACGCCCACCTTCTTTTATGCCGATGGCCGACAAGATGAGAGTCCGTCTCACAACGTCCCGTCTCCACCTTCATCTTCCCTGGGGAGAGCCCCCTCAGAATCCAAGTTCTTCCACGCAGACTCCATAGCTGAGTCGAGAGACCGCCCGCCCATCCTCACCCCGCCACCCATTGCTACATCGCCCGAGCCACTACCGCCACTTGCAGCCCCCCATGGACCCTCTCTCCGGCCGCCCTCGCCCACCAAGGACTGGGCACATCTCTCGTACCGAAAAGGAGCCTCGCAGGTCAGACCAGCGTTGAGCAGAGGAACCTCGGCGAGCACAAGCAGTACCCCCATGGCCATTCTCGGTGGATCAAACACCTCAGACGCTTCCGATGTGAACAGACGCAGATCAAGCACAGCTTCGATGATCAAACGAGGGCACGCCAAAAGCTCCAGTCTCTCCTCCATTGACTCAGTGACCAGTCTGAGGAAGGCATCGGCCCATGAGGCCCCGGCCATGACTCCAAGCCCACTGCATACCGAAAAGAGTGCCGCCGACAATGCATCCCCGCCTGACAACCCCGCTTCAGCCTCTCCGCGCTACACCGCCTTCTCCCCGCTTAATTCTCCCAAATCAGAAAGCCCGACAAGAGGCAACGATACCAAGAGTGCGCTGGAGGTGATGAACGAGCTTGCAGCAAATGCAAGAAGGGAGCGAAAAGTGCTGGATCTTGAAATCAGCAACTCGTCGCTTCTTGCCATCAACAGGTCGTTGGAGAAAGAGGTGCGCAAGCAAAAGGCCGAGATCAGGCGCTTCCGCCGCATGAGTCGAGCTGGACACTTTTCTGCAGACGCCATTGGCTCGCATGACGAGGCCTCTGCCATTGGTGCTAGTAGTCTAGGAGATCTTTCGGATATGTCCGAAGAGGAAGGGATGCCTGAAGACGAAGAGGAAGAAGAGGAGGAGGAGGAACCTGAGAGCAGCGATTCTTCACTCGATGATAGTGCATTGAGCCCTAGTGCTCAACTAGAGCGGGACGAAGCGCATCGTTCGCGAGATCAGAAGCGCCTCCAGCTTGACCTCTCAAAGCACCGTGAGATGCTAAACGACAGCCAAAAGATGAACCAGAGCTTGAGAAAGTGCTTGGGATGGACAGAGCAGCTAATCAAAGACGGCCAGAAGGCGCTGGAGTACAAAGTCAACGTTAGCGATGTCAAGCTAGGCGGCCGCGTACTCATTTCAGAAGATGACAACGAAGTTACTGACGCTGAGGAATCCAGGGGTCTTCTGAGTCCTTGGAATCCGCTGCAAAACACCATGGACGCGTTAGACTCACCATTCTTCCCAGAAACCAACCGCATGGTTGATCGTGACAGCGGGGTGCATTTTGACGGATCAGACCATATCCGGCGGAGCAACAAAGATTCCACAGCAACGTCTTCTACCGTGGACAGCCAAGGCAAATCTACCAGCCCCGTCAAAGAATTTCGTCCCAAGCTCCCTGGCCAGTGGGTATCATATCGAGACTCAAGCCTGAAGCCTCAAGATGATCTCGCACCACTCGGCTCTCCTTTCGAGGAGCGCATCAGGCATCTCCACGCCTCCATCG